GGCGGCTGGGTGATTGGATCTTTCGGCTATCTTTAGGTTTTGAACAGGCTTCAACCTAACAAATCCAGATCATGAGAGGAACAGAGCTTTAACGTTTCGGAGATTAGAATGTCTTCTCGCTAAAAAGTCAAGTGTTTCTTGCCAGCAGGGGCAATGCAGGGACGTTGCTATGGACCCAAAGCCCCGGCCAAAAACCGAATCGATGGCGATTTCTCTTTTTGCAAAAGGTCCCAAGGTGAGTCCTGGGCTCCCTCCCGTTGTACCCAAATCCATGTTGGGTTGTTTTAATTTAAGGGATCCGAATCTATTTTGGGATTGTGTACCTTGGTTCTTGGAATGGTGTAGCAGGAAACCACAAGTGGCTCCGCGGGGCCTCCCATCCCTCTGCCAGGAGCACCAGCTGGAAGTTCAGCTGGCGAAGGACAGGGAAGCCTTACCCAGACGGATTCCCAGGTTGCTTCCTTTTGTTTCCATTTGACGGCCAGGAGATCTATCACCGGAGATTTATTCTTTCTAGCCTGAAGCAAATGGAGGTGTCTCAGCTGTTTTTTGGAGGAAGGTCACTTTAAAATCAAGTACCAAAGTTTGCCCTTTTGTTCTCCCAGGGTGTCTGGGTTAAACATGTCCTTTTTGCCGTGTTACTCTCTTGCGCCGTGGCTTTGCTCTGCATGGTTCTTGGTGTTGTGTTGCTCTTGGTTTTGTGTTCATTTATGCCTTCGATGTTCAGTTGTTTAATTTGTTCAATTTATTTTTAGTAGGCGGGTGGGTGAGTAGGCATACCTTGTTAGTCAAAAAGTTGCCCTGTTCTGTTCATGCTTGGAGCATTCAGTTTCCCCTCCTCTAGGAAGCCCTTGTTAGGAACCCTTTGTTAGGAAGCCTTTGCTTTGTTGTTTTAAAGGGCACCCAAAGGGAAATGAACCAGGGTTACCTCAATTTCCATTTGCTTCTGGTCTCACGTGATGTGGAAGACCTCATTTTTTGACCATATGACGGGCAATCGCTTGTTGAATTCTCACTTTCCTGGGTAGTTGGTCCCCAGCCATCCGCTTGGAATTTCAGCTGTTTAGGGTTTAGAGAGGGTTTTCAGAACCCACTGAAAGATAATTGTGAGGACAACCCAGTTTCGAGATTGATGTTGTATGGCCCGCTTGTTGCGAGGCTCCTTGTCTCTTAATTACCACAGCACTTGTCCGAAGACACACCACGTGGTAGCCACCAAACCCGAAGAATGCAGGGTGCCCTTTCTGTGGTATGAAAGGGACATCAAGGAGAGGCCACTCATTTCGGCAGTTCACTCAGACACAAAACAGACGTGTTTTCCTACTAGGAATAAACTGCAACACATCGGATTCGCAAATGTTATGAATGCCTTAACCCCCCCCTACCCCTCCCCCCCGTAAGGTAGTTGGGTCCTATCCCTAGGGTGGCTAGGAAGCTGATATATCAGCATTTTCCCCAAGCCTTCCGAAGCTGAACCTAAGAGACCCCTTGATTTTGATCGGAGATTCGAGCTGCGTTTCTTTGCTAGGTCCCCCACTTAAGGTGGGTTCGCTTACCCATGTAGGTTCACTTAAGGTTATATCTCTGCCTGTGCTCTCATTTGCCCATATAGTAGGCAACCAAAGGGACCCTCCTTTACATACCAAATGGAACATGGCAAAGGGTCACCCACTGGGTATTCTTGGATGTACCTGAAACATCTGGTTGGCTCGGGAGCTGCGGCTTCGGCTTCAGCGTAGATCCGGTTGAGGAGACCCGAGTGAGCCGCGGCATGCAGGCCTCACCTCCGCCAGAGGCCGCCGAGGCCGAGGCAAGCTGAGGCGCAGGCGGTCCGGAACACCCCGCGCTGGGTCTTCGGCTTCAGCCCGGCCTGGGAGTCGTCTTTTTGTTTTTTTGGTCTTCCCCGGGCGCAGGTCAGATATCCCTTGATTTGTGGTTCGGGCTTGGGGATTTGAAGCGCTTTTGGTGGAGCTGATTGGGCCCTAGCCTCCAGACCGCCAATGCACATCACCAATCAGAGGGAAGCTGAAGTTGGTGGTTGGAACCCCGGCAACTTCTGAAATCAAATGGGAAAAGTAGCCCTTGTCCAAACCACAAAACCACACTGCCAATCAGCTCCAAGGCGATCACTTGGATAGCGTCAAGATCGCATCATTCTTCGGGCTAGTGTTGTCCTTCTCTAGTTCCTGAACTTTGAGTATTTTCTAAGAAGGCTGGCTTGGTACGCAACAAGTTCAGACCATCCACTCAGGTGAGGCAATCAAACACTTGCTCAAAGTCAGTTTCCTTTAGATGGGGTGATGTTTCATGATGTGTTTTTTCTGCATGCAAGATGTTCTTAGCTTGCCAGCCTTGATAGGCTTTGGCTGTGCTTGTGCCAGAGCATGTTGTCGTATTATGTCGTATTCTTTATGGCTGATTGGATCTTTGGACTTTCCATTGCACACACACAAACGCTTAAACTTTCTTCAGAAAGTTCAACAACACCTTATTCTGCAGGAAAATGATCACGGAATAGGACGTGGCAAATCCAACTGTTTTCGGCATCGACATGGTCGACATTAGTCACCGGCTGAGTCACCGAGTGAGCTGGGAACACTCCCTGTCTGACCGTTGGGTGGTGGCCTCTTTGACATTTTCCCTTTGTACCGCACCCTCTTTTCCAGTGCCTTCCCACACAGGCTAGGCCTGGTTACTAAAGCAGGGGTCCCTTTCCTTGCGCGAGTACCTTAGCTGCGCTCCAAAGGGTACCTGCTCTCCAAAGAGGAGTAGTCAGAAAAGTGGTAAAAAGCCTGTATATCACCAGATTGTGGATGGACAGAACCCATTTCGCTCTTAAGAAACCCTGGCATGAATGGCAGTAGCTCCCAAGATGGTTAGGCCCTTGAATGCTTTGGCACGATGGGCCCTTGCACTTTTCAGGGATCCCATTGACCACTGCCACAGTCAGATATTGCCTTTCTGGTTTGCCATCCCTTACCAGCTCCAAGTCTTGCCTTTGCCAGAGCTAACTTCCGGCTTGAACATGTCTCCCGCCTCCTCGGTTTGCCATTCCAACCAGCTAGAAACATGTGTTGTTGTTTTTTTTGGCAGGGGTCGGATCAGTCTGGCCCTGTGAGCACGAAAGGTACTGCCACCTTTCCATCCGTTTCACTGGCCCTGGTGGGCCATTAGGCGGCCCCGTAGTTTCGAATCCCCTGGCGTTGCGGGCGTGTCCTGCACCAAAGGCGGGGGCTGCAACTTCGTTCGGGGATCAGGTTGAATGGTAACCAATACGTCAGGAGCTTTTGCTGAACAATCCACTTAGGAAGCGAGACGGTGATGTTTGAAGCCACCTTTCACGACCCCCTCCCACCAATAAACACCTGACAGGGACACGCCCCTTTGAAAGGAAAATGGTCCAAACCAGGACTCCCCGAACAACGCGTTCCATGTTTATTGGTGGGAGGGTATTTGAAACCAGCTGCAGGTGAAACATGGGACACAGACCTCCGAACTTGCTGGCTGATCCCTGCATCGGGGGGCGTGGGGGGGAATGGGGGCCAGTTGTAGATGGGCCCTTCGCCGAAGATGCGGGGACCAAAAAGATCGCCGCTGCTGCCTTTGGGGTCTCCGAAAGCAGTTTCTTTTTTTGGGAAGGCGAAATGTGGAAAATAATCAGAACCGGCACTCTCAACCTTTTGGGTTTTTGGACATGGGAGAAAGCAGTTGTTGTGGGGCGCAGTTGTTGGGAGGGTGCTGGATGTTTTTCATATTGCGCATGTTGCTCCCGGGTTTGGCTATGTCTCGAACCTGCCTTGCCAAAAGGTTCATGCAACGCGTTTTCGCCACATACCCAACTGTTCGAGGCACGTATGCCCTAGCAATGTGATCAGCAAACAGGATGCCTGGTCTTCCCTACAAAAGCTTAGCATCGTCACAATATGAGATGTTGAAACAGTGATATGCTTCAAAAAACGCAAGCACCATTGTATTGCTTGGAAGTTGGCAAAGTGAGGTGATCTAGTCTCTACATCACTCACATTTTGACAATATGTGTTCATAACATGTATATTGAAGATAATACACACTGGTCTTGCGTTCTCCTTCTTGTTTGGCATACCCAATTGAACGTCATTTTGCAGTTGTGCAATGGGCCATGTGCCTGTGGTTTTTGGGTTGGTTCCCAGCTTACAGCTGGCAGCACTTTCACTGAGTTGATATGCAGAAGCAACAGCCATTACACGCCATTTGTTTTGTATGTTTTTATTATTATTCGTCTTCTTCTTCTTATTATTATTATTATTATTATTGTTATTATTATTTATATTCTATTTTACTTTCTTTTTGGGGCGGGGGAGTAAATATGAAACAGACACAGGCAACAACCGTGACACATAGAAAAATACTGACTATAATATTGGAGGTCGGCTCATCTAGCGCCGCTTTCATCCGTTTTCTATTCCTCTCAACCCATATGTTTGGCTTTTAGCCCATTCAATAATCATGTTCCCATCCCTTTCAATGTACCCTGGTCAAACCGCTGATGCGCAACCTATTGCTTGTAACACTGGGGCTGCTGGGGTTGCTCTCTGATGGCTACGTCCAACTTCCAACTCACTTCCTGATTTGTTTGGACTTTTAAAGTTTTAGGATGATATGATTTTTTTGGTGGTATACCAAATGTTTAGACTTGTACGTTTGGCAAACCTACTCAGGAAGTGCCAAATGCTGCCGTTTTGGGCCATGTTGGCCCATGTTGGGCCATTTGCCCGGTTGCAGGCGTACGCCCCTCAACAAATCGATGGTTCGGCGCTTACAAATAAGGTTTGTTCATGAGATCCAGAGCCGCAGCAAGGAGAAGCACTGGCGAGTGCCCCTCTCTAGTGACCTATGGTCCAGTTTTTCCGATGGCTACCCTAGCTTCCCAACTTGCAGGAACTTGTTCGGCACTTTTTTTTGTAGACCAAAAGCCGTGACTTGTGCTCTTGTGGCTTTCGCTGGCTGGGCACGGCTCGAAGGTACTGAATGAGGTCCTTGAGAAAGCCCAGACTGAGCCGCGGCCTTAGGACCTGCGAAGTTTGACGAAAACGGGCCATTTTAATTTTTGCACCACGAAATGGAATCATGGTTGGTGTCCCTTTCTTTGTCATACATTTACAGGGAAATGAACGTGGTGCAAAATGGATTTTGTCCATCGACGGTACGGAACCTTGCTGAAACCGGCTTGGGGTTCGACCATCTTGGGTCCCGGTGCAATAGGCTACGTGCATCATCGCTCCCCTTCCCCTGTCTCCTCCTTTTATCTTCCTCGAAAAACATGCTTCTTCTGGGGGGACAGGGGCGAGGTTGGAATGGGACAGGTTCGGCGGTGCCCTTTCCGAGCACAGGCCCAGGACATGTGGGTTTAGGCCACTGAGTGACAAACTTTTGGCATGGGACTCCCGCTTTGGTATCCCAAGAGCTGTACATGCCTTCTGAGTATACCCCGGACACCTGATGAAAGGAATCTTTGAGAGAAGCTTGGGGTATGCTCAAAAGGTATGTTGGAGGGTTCTTGGCCACAGAGTGCGGGTTATTGACCACAACAATGGCTTTTCCTATATTAATTTTCCCCTCGGGCATGTTGCTTCCCGAAAGCGAATCGACCTTTTGCTTGTTTTGGTCCCCTTTCTGGTCGCTTTTCCAATTCACTTTTAGCCCTTCGCTTTTGGTAAGCCAAAAGGCGATCATTTGAGATGTTGTAGATGAACGAAATCTACTTTGCCCCACCTAAGAAACCCTGTAAATACCAACGAACAATGGTTTCGACCATGGTTTCAAAGTGGTGCAAACTGGATTTCGTCCACCCACAGTATTCCCAGTTGCCCAAGGGAGACATTTGAGGCTGGAGAAGCTCCGGCGGGAGGAGCAGGAGAAGCTACACAGCTACCAGCTGCTGAGGCAGCGCAGGCCTAAGACCCGCGAGACTCGACGGAGGAGCTTGGGCCCTCGAGCGGTGGTTCCTATAATTCCGAATTCACGGACTTCAGTCACTTTTTGGGTTTGGACAATTTTAGTGGCCGACCAGCAGTGCGGTGACATTTTCTGGCCAGTCCACTCAGGAAGTGAACTTCCCGTTTTGGTGGTGTTAGACAGCATTTATTGGGCGAATTCAACGTGAGTTTGCTTTTGGGGTGATAGAAAATGTAGGGAGCCCTGCTGAACTTGAGATTTTGCGTCGTCCATTTTTGGCCGCTTCAGTTGGGTCATAAATGGGCTTAAAAGTCTCACCACCCCTAGTCAGGGCCATAACCCCCTCCAGGCAAGGAATACGGCGGCGCAATCTTGGTCCCGAATTAAAAAACAACTCAGTTTATTTGGGGGGTCCTGGGTTTAGTGGGGAATCATCACTCTGGGAGGGACATATTCCTCTTTGATTTTGAGTGGACGAACCCCCTGCACCAGGCGGTGGGTTCTGCCATTACTTATAAGGTTGCACCTATTCCAAGTGGTGCAGGATTTCGTCCTGGATTTCGTCCACCCACTGTAGGACGGGTTTGTTGATCCGGGGTTCCCAGTAGAGAAACTGACACTGGTGAGAGTCGTTCCTGAAAGTGCTTGGGATTTACTGGGCAGTTAGTTTCAATTGTTCAGCGCCCTGCTTTGGGGGCTCTGGGCCACGCAAACATGCCAGGCCACAATGGGTTCCGTTTTGTTTGGGCCCCAAGAGTGGCCGTGTTGTTAGGGGTTCTTAGGATTACTTTTGAGGTTCCTTTACTTGGGGAGTGCTTGTGAGCTAGGAAGTTGTTGACACACACACACACCAATTCATACACCCACATAATATATATATATATATATGCATATACATACACACACACACACGCAAATTCATATATATATATATATATAGATGTATCTATGTACATATGAATTGAGCTTTAAGGCGTCATGTTTTGGCTTTTATCTCGTGGTGACTAGGTGCCAACCAGATTTCGCAGTTGTGACCAGCCGCCCTGCGGCCCCAACACGAGTGGCGGCAAAGAGTCACGTGGTCGGGCTTAGGTCTCAGAGCGAGAAGATGAAGTATGCGAAGCGAGACATGGCTGAGACCTCAAAGGCTTCCCGGGTGCCCAGGCTTTTCTTGGGTGGCATTTACTCCAGTAGGGTTTCGTCCGTATCAGTTGCAACAGCGAATGGACCAGATCTGACCTTTTTGGTTTCCTCTTCTTGGTCCATGAGTCATGGCCCCAAAAGGCGATCGCCTTTTTGTGTGTCCAACTTGGGCAACAGAGCCATCTGAACTGGTGCGAGGTGGAGTTTGTCCATCCACTTCCTCTTGCTTTTTTGCATGACCTGGGCTGCTTTAACGTGAATTTCCCTTTGGGGTAAAGCGGAAAGGTGCTTGCTGTCTGGCATAGGTCTTGTGAGCATCTAAGAGCCTTACCAGAGCTAAGTCTTTTAAGTAGGGCGTACCTACCCGAAAAATCCCCTGTTTAAATCAGAAGTACTAAGCCTATGCCTCTATACGCGCCCAGCAGCGGCACAGTGCCGCCTTTTCCAATGGCTGGTGCAAAGGTGGAGGGTCGACCTCAGTTGAATGAGCCCAACATTCCGGAGTTAATTTGGATTTGCTTTGGACGTGTGACCGCTCCAACCAGCAACGGCGCGAGAAGCCAACGAGCAAGTTGGTCGTTCAGGTGATTCTTGTGGTACGTTGTTAAAAAAAAAGGACAGTGGACCCCTGCACATCACATCCCCTGCAAGCCTGGGACCCAGGAAAGGGGGTCCGACTCCCGAGATCCCTCAAGGATTGTTTTTGTTTCAGATCCCCGTTAAATCTTCAATCCTAAGGCAGCACGTTTGCCCGGGCTGTCCTGGTATGTTTTGGGCGCCCCTGAATATCAGTGGGCACCTTTTTCGTTGCCTTGCTGAGTGAAGACCCTCTGAACGCAACAGCAGAGAGAGAGAGAGAGAGAGAGAGAGAGATCCCAAGGCAGGCTTTTCCGCTTCCATGTTAAAGCTCACAAAGAACCAGAGCACCAAGTGTTACACATTCCCACCACGCGGGCTTCAGCTGCTGGCTTGGCCCAGGCAGCGGCGCAGGAAAGGAAGGGAGACGCCGCTCAGCGGATTGCCGCCTCCGCCCGAAATCTCAGCAAGCAGCTTGGGATGTTTGTGATCCGAGTCCCTGCGCCAGTTGCAACCACAGCGGATCGACCCGGACGGAGTTGACCTTTTGGTTTCCAATATTTGGTCAAGGTTCCAAGAGGACCTTTATTTCTGGGTCCAAACTGGGCAAGCGAGCTTGGCTGTCGAACGTCAATCCTTGAGATCCCTACCCAAGGGGTTACCAAAGGGGATGGATGGCCAACGCTCCAGTTTGAACGGCCCAAGTCAGAAGGACAGAATCCATTCCGAAATAGTTTCTAGGTTTTAAATGTTACTTATGAAAACTGATCATGTAACAACAAGGGTGCCCTGTGCTTGTTGGGAAGGGGGATGAAGTTACCCAAAGGGAATTCACAGTCTGGTGGCAGAAGCAAGTTAGATACTGCTGCCCTTGGCAGGCCTATTTCATGTTTTCTGGTGTTGGTTCCGATTGCTTTGTGTGCTGCACAAGCCAGCCCGTTTGTTGCAACCTGGGGTTGGGCCGTACATGTCAGCACCATTTGCTGCGGTTGGCACGGGACTTCGTGCATCGACAGCTGCAGCTGCATATTCCCTTTGAAGTCACCAATGTTGACCCCGGATGAAGAACCCCCTTTTATTCCCCAGATAGCTGAAAGCTATAGGGGTTCTAACTTCCAATCAAGAAGGAAAAGTGATTTGCGAGATTGAGGGCCGGGTGCTAGGGGGCATGCAGTTTGGGGTGCTGGTGGAGGTGCTGCTTTGCGAGCTTGACGGCCGGGTGCCAGGGGGCATGCAGCTTGGGGTGCTAGTAGTGGAGGTGCTGTTTTGCGAGAGTGATGGTCGGGTGCTAGGGGGCATGCAGTTTGGGGTGTTGGTGAAGGTGCTGTTTTGCGAGAGTGATGGCCGGGTGCTAGGGGGCATGCAGTTTGGGGTGTTGGTGGAGGTGCTGTTTTGCGAGCTTGACGGCCGGGTGCTAGGGGGCATGCAGTTTGGGGTGTTGGTGGAGGTGCTGTTTTGACGAGAGTGATGGCCGGGTGCTAGGGGGCATGCAGCTTGGGGTGTTGGTGGAGGTGCTGTTTTGCGAGAGTGATGGCCGGGTGCTAAAGGGCATGCTGCTAGTGGAGGTGCTGCTTTGCGAGAGTGATGGCCGGGTGCTAGGGGGCATGCAGTTTCGGGTGTTGGTGGAGGTGCTGTTTTGCGAGATTGACGGCCGGGTGCCAGATGTAGTTCGGGTGCTGGTGCTGTTTTGCGAGCTTGACGCAGTTTGGGGTGGTGGTGCAACTGCTGTGTTGGGTTGCCGGGGTTCTAACTTCTAATGAAGAAGTGGGATTGTTTTGCAAGATCGACGGTTGGGAGCTAGGGGGCATGCCCTTTGGGGTGCTGGCGCAGGTACAGTTTTGGGCTGGTGACAGTACGTGACGGCAAGGTGTTTGGTGCTCGGGGACCTGTCCAATGCTGGTGTGGGTGCTGCGTTGGGGTGCTGTTGGGGCTGCTGTCTTGAGGTGTTGGTGACGGTGTGGGCGCATATGGACGGCAGGGTGCTAGGGAGGGTGCTGTTTCATGATGCCGTTGAACCGGTTCGGACGTTGTTGCTGCTCTAGTAGTCTAACCGTCGTTTGTCATGGTGCGTGGTTCGTGGCTGGTGTGTCATCATGATGTTGTCACCCGCGTCATGATGCTGCTGTCACTGCGATGCTGCGATGCTGCGTTATGGTTCGTGGGTGTGGTGGCGCCATGATGGCTGCCAACATCAGGATGATGCTGAATTTCACTACGCTGTCGCGAGAAGCTTCGTGGCTGTGGTATCATCATGCTGCCTTTTCAATTTTACCATTACCATGATGCTGTTCGCATCACCATGATGCTGTCCGCATCATGGTGGTGCTGTCCGCATGATCGTGATGCTGTCCGCATCATCATGATGCTGTCAAACTCATCAGGACGTCGTCTCTGCCTTTTTTCTGCTAGATATGTGGCGCGGAATCGTTCGTTGCTGGTGCATCAGCATGATGCTGTCAACATCATCATGTTTGCTGCTGAACTCATTAGGACGCTCTCTTCGTGTCTATTCAGCGCACATGCTGAGTGGCTGTGCATGATGCTTTCAACATCATCATGATGCTGTCAACATCATCATGATGCCTCGGGAACCATTATGATGCTGCATAATGGTTCGTAGCCGTGATGTGCTATCTGGGGTCTACGCTGGTGTAATTCATAGGGGATGTCCCTTGTTTTGAGTGTGACCCCGATAAGGTGTGAGAAGGAAGAGTGGTTTCCTCATGAGTCAACAGGCCACAATGAACCTATGAACTTGGGATCGGTCCCTATCGAACCGTTCCCTAGGAGGGCAGCCTGGCAGAAGCGCAGCGCAGCGTGGCGGAGACAGCACCTCGTTTTGTCGAAAGCTTCGTGCGGACAGGGCCACGTTTAGAACAGGGCTCCCTACTTAAAGGGGCAGGGTACTAAGTGGGCAACAACCATGGTTATAAGCCTCTCAGGCGACTTACAACTAGGTTATAGCCATGGCTGTTACCCTTTAAGTGTTCCCCTGCCACTAGCGAATCGACCTTTTGTCCTGTTGTTTTCTTCTATTGATGCTGAGGCATGGCCCCAAATCATTGAAATGTGCCTTTTGTTTTTGGGTCTGTTGAGCAACTGAGTATATGAGCGTGTCTTAAAAGCAGAGGAAGCCCTTTTCGTGTCCCTTGGAAGCCATCCGGCAGTCCCTGAAAAGAGGCACACCCATATTCACCTTGAGATTTAAGCCACCGAAAGGGAACATGTAACCCTGGTTCGCCCAGACACCCAGTGGTGCCCTGTTTACTCCACTGTGACAGTAGATAGCACAATCCCGGGTAGAGGTGGGCAAGCGCATGACGAGTGACCAAAATGGCGAGGGGAATTGAATCACCTGCTTTCACCCTCTGCCCAAACAAAGAGGAGCAAACCAGATGAGGGTTTGGTCTTCCGTCATGCCAGGGAACGGCCATGGAAATCACCCAACTGTAGACCTGACTTCGCTTGAAGCAACTATTCAAGCGACCACGTGTTGGCTTGTCTTTCACTGAAATCTTCTCCAAAATTATGTTATCTTCCAGGCTAGGCTAATTCTGGAACAGAATCGGAGCATGTTAATTTTTGAGTACCTGAGACGTGGATCAACTTAAGGGAGGGCAGATTCTGGTTGTGTCAGAAGTTGCCTGAGGGGGAATACGATTCGCCTACCCCTCGGGCAACGCTGCATGAGATTAGCTTCGGGAAGAAGGTCTCTTGCAAACCTTGAGAGTGTGATTTGGGCCCAAAGATTCCTTCCAAGGTATGTAAAGGTTGCATGACCATTCTCTGCAGGCATAGTGATATGTATGCACCCTGTGTACTCCCCTTTTGTTTCCCTTGAAAGTCATCCTCTCCCCTGGAAGGTTTCCTTCGCGCTGTGGTAGTTCCCTGGCACATCTCGATTGTCGGAAAACATTGGATCAGCCCTCGCAAACGCTGATGATCCCCCGCGAATTCCAGGGACACCCCGCCGTCCCAGGTAAGGGTTTAGTGGGGGTTTCGCATAGACGGTCTGAGGACAGCCCAGTAAGCTGGGTCAAAATTAATCTTATGACTTGCCACACGAGAATGTACGCAACAAGTTTGGGTTTAGATGCATGATGATGCATGGCCAAATCTTGACTTCTGAGGCATGTCTCTAAACTGGGGCGGGCACATGTCGGGTTTTTGCTTTTGAGGCGTGCGTTTCCCCAGACTTTTGAGAGGCGATTTGGCAGCACCAAGCCCTACAAAACAAATATCCGGAAGAAAGTGTTCACGCCAAATAGGCCCAAGTGTCCACCCGGGCACTGCCCTCAACATCAAACAGAGCGGTGTTTCCAAAAATCGTAGTCCCCTAAACTACCCTTCCACCCAAGAACATGGAACCTGACAGGGGGTTCTCTTAAAAGGAATATGTTCCATGCAGGACCCCCTCAAGCGTCAGGTTCCATGTAAGTTGCTGGGATTGCATCTAAAATGTGGGTGTCCTTTTGGCTCCCCTTCACCTACGAACAGGGTGTGTCGCGTTGCAAATCACCTGTCTTGGCCCTTCTTGGATCGGAGGGTTGGGTTTCCGTTGCCAGGAAGCCTGAGCCAGTGGCTCCAGTGCAAAGACCCCTCGTTAGTTTCCCATGTTGGTTTTAAAGGCAACCCATCACTTCTGGAAATTGTTTCTTATGTTTTCCAGCGGGCTTAAGCAAATGGAGGTAGTTTAGAAGTCTTGTTTGACTTTCGGAGTTCATGGACTTTAGTTGTTTTTTGAGTTGGGACTAGTTAGCGGCAAAACACTTGAACTTTTTGGCCAATCCAGTAGATCGGACAAGAAGGGTCAACAGGGAAGACCCCAGCTGTTTCTTTTGAGGATGCCCTTTTGGGGTTGGTTGGGGTCAGGAAACCCAAAGGAAAGCCACCACTTTGGGGTTTCGTGCTTGGATGTTGGGCCAAGTTAGTAAGTGGTCAGCCATTTGGGGTTTTACCCCCTAACCCCGCTTTTACGGGGTCCTTATAAGTGGGCCATAGCAAACGGTATCCAACTTACGAACCCAAGTAGCTTGATATCCATTTCTTCACTGTTCTTGGCAAGTTTGCGTGTTTTGTTTGTGTTTTTTGCGGTTTTGTTCATTTTTGTTGTATCGGGGGCTGTAAAACACAACGGTTTTGCTACCATACCAAGGGTTGTATAGAATGGATTGGACACGGCCAATGAGAGAGGGTTTTCCTTACATTTCCTTTAAGGGTGAGAAAGAACAAACCCCATTTGGGCACGGGGGGCCGCAAGGGCAACCCAGACATTTGAGATCTCACTTGCCCAAAGCCAGGCTTTGTAGTAGCCCAACTGGTGATCGCCTTTTATTCCTGGGTCCGAACTGGGGGCAAACTGAGGAGCCGTTTTCGGAGTCGGTTTAAAAGCAAATGGGTACGGGTCAAAATTAAATCACCAGGGGACCGCAGGTTTTGGTCCATGTTTCCACTTACTAGGGTTCCATTTGGGGTACCTATTATTTTTGACCCACAGCCAAATAAACGAGAGACACCAATCCTGTGGAGAGAAACCCAGGTGGCCGCCTTGCAGGCGGCACGTCGGCTTTCGGTCGCTGGGGTATCAAACTGGGCTGTTCAAAGGCAATCGTTGATCCTTACCCTGGGTAACGAAAGGAGTCCCCTTTGTAGGAATTGCGGATTAGCATTGGCCAGCATTCCATTTTTGAACAACCCGGTCAGAAAAACTGTGTTTTTTTCTTGGCCCCAAATTACATCGATTCGGACGTTTGTTGGACTTGAGGTTTCTTTACTTCGGGTCAAGCCAAAGCACTCCGGAGCACAACGGGGAAGCCAACTGCTTCGGTTGCTTCTTTCGGAGGCTCACTCCCGGAGTTCCTGGACTTCCGCACTTCTTTTTTTTGGGGGGGTAGGCCGCCAAAGTGGTTTCCAACTGGTTCAGACTTCCTGAGTCCCTCCGCTGAAGGGAATCCTAGTGTCACAGGTGATTTGTTTGATTCCTTTCGGAATCCAGCTGTTCCACTTGCCAAGCTTCCTATATCTCACACGCCCCTTTGGCCTGACGCCCAAACACACTAAATCCCGCCACAGACGGAAAAAATGGGTTTTGCCTTTTTTTGAGGGTACCTTGTTTTGTGGTCTTAAAGGCGAGCAACAGGTTTCACAACCATGTGTATGGTTGGTTTTTGTTGTTCTTTTGGGAGGCGCCCCCGCCCCAAAAACACAAGAGACACCCAACAGTGCCCACAGTGGGATCGGTGTGTTGAGGGCGGTTTGGGGCGGTTTGGGGCGGTTTGGGCTGTGACCAAGGGAACGCCCCAGGATCTGCAGGGCACATGCCTCAAGAAAGCCGCCCGGGCGCCAAGTCGCTGCAGTTTCCGGGTGCGCTTTGCTCGTTCCCGTGAGCGGACCGCCCATATTTGGGCTAGATGGAGGCCGTCTTTCGGGTGAGGCTTGAAGGCTTGGAGTGATGAGTGGGGTTTTGCAAGTTAGATCAGGGTGTTTCAGCACAATGACCTAACCACGAGAGTAGCGGGTTGGTTTGACATTTCTTTTAGCGCTTTCAGGTGCCACACCACGTAAGAAACCCTGGGAATGATGACTCCCCTGCAAATAAAGGTGTTCCGTGGTTTCAAAGTGGTGCAGGATTTCGTCCATCCATAATGTGGTAACTGAACAGACCACTAAAACGACCCTCAGGTGAGGGGTTTTCCCCTTTTACAAGCCTTTCTCAGGCCTTGCTAAGGGGATCCCTGTCGTTGTTTGCCTCCTTGGCGAGGAAACAGAGCTGAACGTTTCTGAGCTGAACGTTTCCTCAATTTTGCGCGAGGCATATTTGGGATCCGTTTCAAAGCACATGCCTACGAGTATAAACATGTTGAAGCTAAATCACCAAAACAACACGAACAATACGGGGAACAAGTTGGAAACCCCACAAGAAAAGCAAGAAAAACAAGGCAACCTCCTGCACCACTGCTCCCTCTTTGTGTGTGTGTGTGTGCTTGATTTGTTTTGTTTTGTTTTCTTTTGTTTTGTAAGAGGTTGATGCAGATTTCGAAGGCCTCTGAGAAGAATACCAATGAGGAATATCAGCACTGCTTCGAGGAACCAAGAGTGGTGGCACCCCTCGCGAGCGCATGGGTGACCAACCTGAAGATGCCCAGCGCCCCTCCCGGCGACAAGACCATCGCCTTGAGGGCTGGCAGCGGAATCTGCCATCCGCGCGCCTACGCAAGGCCGCCGCCAACTTACAATCCAGCGGAAAAAGCTTGCAGGAAATTCACCACGTACCTGTTATGTGAGTACATTTGTTTTGGCGAACTTCTTGTACCCGATTGCCCAGTGACTCTGGCAGAAACGTGGATGAACGAAAAAAGGCTATGAATACTGGGATAAGCCGCCTACCTGGTGCGGGATGCTGTCCATCAGAAGGCACACAGAAGAGGAAAGACCGCTTTAGCTTTGATTTGTTGGCTGGCCATGACGACTATCAAAGTGACCCCCAAGGCAGGTTAAAGGGACACCACTGGTTCCAGTTTTTGACTTAGACCCCCAGAAACACCCAACATAGTATGGTTTTGCCCCAGTTTCTGTCTGATAATGACATTGCCCCCCCAACACACCCCAGGTTGCCTTTTCTCAATTTTCCATCTCAGCTCACGGTTTGCTTGTCTAAGTTTGTCCCTGGGTGAGAAGCCTGGCTTGCAGTATATAGCCAGGGGTCAGAAGTGCGGCCCCCTTTTTGGAGGGCCGCGTGTGGTGCCCGCTTCGGCGCCCGAAGCCAACGCTGAGACCAAATTCGAGGAGGACACACAGGGTCGCGCAGAGGAGGTGAAGGCGTGGTGGAGGGATGCCAGCATCCTTGCTGAAGAGTTTGGGGGATTGCTTCCATTTGGGTGTCTAGTTTTGTAGGGTGCCCCCCAAAATGCTGGTTTTCCTTTTGGTTTCCCTTTGAAACATCAGAAAGGGTTCCCCCCCAAAAAAAAAATGCAATTGGCCGACTCATTTATTTTCCACCTGTTGGCTTTAACGTAATCCATCACTACAGGAATTGTTCAGGGGACTGAAGCAAACGGAGGAACAGCATGTCTTTAGGGGAAAGTTGTGACCTTGCAAAGGGTTTTGGTTCACGACCTTCATGTTAAGTCTTTGGGGGTCACCTCTTTTCTATTTAGATAGGGGAATCTGATGGAATCTGTTTCTTCCGCGGTAAGGTGTTAGTTGGTGGGAAGGAAGCCGACAGAGCTGGTCTATTCTGGTGTCCTAAACTTGCCTGGTGCGATAGGTAGGGAATGACGGTTCGGGGGGGGGGGCGGGGGCTCATTAGGGAATGACCCAGCAAAGCGGCAATGAGCCGATTCCCTTAAAGGAAACCATAGGAGAAGGGCTATAATTGTAGGGGTCATTCCCTCATTCCCTGCTGAGCACCGGCAAGTAACAGGGGGGCTGCCCCCCCGATCAAAGTCAACTGGGGTTCCCTTACCCTTCGAGAACACTATGAACTAAAGGGGAAATCCCCGCTAACAACTACATAAAGGGAACCCGCCTAGGTAACCCAAGTTTCCAGGCATTTGCAACCTATGGCTCATGGATTTCGGTTCCATTTTTTTCTTAACCCCCAACAACCCCCCCCCCCCCCCAAATCCTGGCGCCCCAGCATGATTGGTTTTTCTTTTGATTCCCTCTAAACCAACATGCAAAAGCGTACTCCGCCTCCGCCCCCCCCCCCCAAAAAAAAAAGAAAAAAGCAAGAAACAAAAGGAACAAAACAACAGCAAAAACAAAACAGACAAACACGCAAACAAAAAGCTCCACAAAACCTAGAACCTTCCCCCCCGCCCCCCACACCCAAAAAGCACACGGCGGTTTGGTTCTGCCTTGGGGCCTGGGACCCAAAGCCCGGCCTCAAAAACCTCGGCTTCCATGACGAGGCGTTGCAGGAAGCAAAGGAGGCCATCGAAGCCAAGCTCGGCCCCTCGACCGACAGTGTGTGTGCGTTTGTGACATATAGTTATGCTTGCTTTTCTTGGTATTTGTTTCTGTGTTTTTGGCTTCGTTATAGTAGGTCTTTCTTTGCGTCTTTGCGCCATGCTTTCTTTATTTATTTATTTACCTATTGATTGATTTCTTTCTTTCTTTGTTCTTTCTTTCTTTGTTCTTTCTTTCTTTGTTCTTTCTTGCTTTCTTTCTGTTGCTGATTTTTCTCGGGCGTAGCCTACTTGCGAAGCGGGTACAGCGGCCAAGCACAGTCTGCCTCTTGGGGTGTGTGGCTTTTCTGCTGCCAGAGGACTGGTTCCGTGACCTTTCGTAGGTTGGACTGGGTCATTCTTCCTCAGCGTCCCTCTAATTGGTGGCTTGGATTAGTAGTTTGGAGGTGTTCCGGGAGTGGTTTCACACTTAGCTTCTACGAGAACCAGGGGATTTCCAAAGAACCAATTACCATTGTATATTTCACCTCCTTTTTCGGGTTTTACTGACTTTTTTGGTTTGGACAGTTCTAGTGGCAAGCAACAAGTCCAAACTTTCTTGGGCCCTCAGAAGTGAGTTGATAAATTTGGCTCTTTCTGGGGATTATCAGATATCAAAGTCAGAACAAGTGGGCCTGTTTACCCTTTAACCTACTACAGGAACGACTTTGATCCTGATAAAATGCTGGGGGTCGGATCGGTCAAGTAAACCCGAAAAGATCCGTGTCGGATCCCCCTAGCCGATCGAGGCTGAAGGCGCCTCAGTCTTAGGCGGCCAGCTGATCCCGAACCAGATTGCTTCTTTGCTTGGCGGCGCATCTCCACTCCTAGAAGTGGAATTGGGGAGGGGGTGACTTCTGGAGTTCCATTTAGGTTCCATTTACGGCCCTCTAAACTGGCAACAGTTGCCTTTTGGTTCAATTTAGCGACCAAAAGGGGGTCAGTTTCTCACCCCAAGACGAACCGATCAGATCCGACCTCCTGGTTTCCCTTTGGTTAGTCAAGGTTCCAAACGGTCCTGCTGCACAGATGGCCTTTCACCCAAACTGCATCAAAGGTGGTGGGCGCGCCGCCTCCTTCCTGCAGCTGGGCAGAGGCGCCTCCTTTCTTGCTTTCTTCGTCTTGATTGTGTCTTTTCATTGTTTTTGTGTACTGCTTTCTTTGTTACATCGTTGGTTTTCATTCTTTGCTATCTACTGTACTGTATATCTGCATGTTCCTTGTTCTGCTCTCGTCTTTGTTCATTTTTTTCTGTTTTGTCTGCTTGTTTCTGTTCTTTTGTTTTCTCTCTCTCTCTCTCAGTTTCCGGATTTGTCGACCAGGGTCAGACGAGAAGGCCACACACACACACACACGCACATGACGTGCAATGGAACTTTTCTTTGGAACAGTCCCTTGTACCGTTTGATTCCCCACACATGTGAAATTTGCCCTACTTCCAAGCCAATCCAAACCACCTGGAGCGAAGCTCATTTCCTTGCACAATCAGGTCTGGAAAAGGAACGGCCAGAGTTCAAAAAGATTGCACGCTGCTTCCTTTTTGGGATCGATCGATAGGCAGACGTCAGCCACTGCAAGGCAACTAGGAGCAGACTGAGCTCTAACTGGTACCGGGATTTATGTAAAGCCCTGATAAGTTAACCCCCCCCATTTCTTAATCGGGGGTCCCGGTGGCCTGGAAGACAGGATTCCCACTAAAAAGGGCCCCCCCGAGAAATCAAAAAGTATGGGGGTGATTCAGTCTTTTTTTTTTGCTAAACGTATTGTTTTTGGAAACCCGTGTTTTGTCTTTCCAGAATTAATACATCAGATGTTTGGTAAAGGGTTGTCATCATACCCTGAAACAAGTGGGTACTGGCTCTGGGGGTATGAATTTGGAGTATACATGATTCTTTGTTCGAACCTCAGAGCTTCTTCAAAATGCACCGTCAACGAGACAACAGGGACCTTGCCAAACACCCACCAAAGAACCACTTAAGACTCTAGTTGCAGTCTGTGCGATTACCTATGTCCAGGTGCTTAAAAATTGCCAGTCCACTTTTTCGCACGGAGGAAGAGCCTTTGATTAGTCAGGTGTCGACCTTACCCCAAAACGTCTCTTGGCTGAAGCGCTTCAGCCGCTTCAGCTCTTCATCCGGTCCTTTGGCTCAAGACGAAGCGGCCATCGGGGATGCTGCGTGACTTTGGCAAAGCGGCGGTCGGTTGAAAGGGTTGAGGGCAGGGTGTTGGCATGTCCTTGTTCTTTGTTTTATGTTGCTTTCGTACTCTGGGCCTGTAGTTGCATCTTCACCCAGGTAAATGCTGAACTGGGCGATTGATTCCTTCTTGTAGGGGCAACTACCAACAAAAGGCTGCCCCTTGGCCAACAAATCTGCCTATTGTGTTTGCAAGCTCACGGAAAGGTAAAACGAGCTCATGATGTAAGTCCTCGCCGGGGCGTCACGATGTCAGCAGATTCGCTTTGTATGCTTTGCGCAGCTCAGTGGCACCCTTCAACGTGCGTGTTGGGGCTCGTTTTCGACACGCAAGTGTTTCTCTCGAAGTCGTTTTGCCTAGGTTGAAATTCGTGCAAGCCGCGTAGGTTGTAGCCCTGGCTATACCTGGGACAAATGGGGTTGATAAACATCGGTAGTACCTACTTGATGATGTCAATCCCTTTTACCCATTGTGTAAAAGGCGATTGACATCATTCCTCCAGGTATAACACAACCCAATGGGAACGCGAATTTGATAAACCCCTTGTGAATTGGGGGGCCCCTACAATGGCTGCTGTGTTCTTGTTGGTGTCCCTTGAAGCCCAGACACGGGCGAGCAAATCCTGGCATCTGACCTTTTGGGCTGAGGCCAAAGAGATTCGGCAGCCTCCAGGAGGCCGTCGAGTTTGCGAGGTTGCCCAAAGCGAGTCGACCGAATCTAACCTTTCCGTTTCCCCTTTTTGGCCCATTTTTGTGATGGCTCCAACTGAGGACAGTTTTGCTTTCCTTTGGTTCTTGTTTGTAGTTTCCCATGCTTGGTGTCGCTGTTCCGTATTTTGGTGTTCCTTTTTCGGGGTTCCTTCTCTGGTGTTCGACAGGGGGGCTCAACATTCTTGGATATTCAACCTAATTGGTCAGCAGGTTGTAGCCATGGTGATGATGGGGCGGCCCTAGATTCTATGATCGCAAACCTTACGACGCACCACATCTTGCACCAGTTGGGCTGGATGAAGCCTTATGAATGTGTGGGCTTGGTTCCGCAGTGGGCACGTGTTTCGTTTTAGGTACCCCTCGGTTGGTGGTTTGGATTCGTGGGGCTGGGGAATTGCTTGTCCTTTGTTCTTCAAGGCAAGAGGGGCTTACCGCCCCGGAACGCGTCCAAACCACCGGGCTCCAAACCACGAATTGGAAGGAAGCTGAGTGCATCTTAAGGTTGAACACTTCATATGTTGGGTTGGCCAATGAATATGCGTAACCAATTATCAAGAATTCCTTAAGTGGTAGTTTCGATCGGTGGCTTGGGGATTTGAAGCCCTGGTTCTTGTAGACGGTAAATGGGAAGCTACCCCCGTAATTAACCACCAACCCACCAATCCAATACACCAGCAAGGGGAAGCTAATTCACAGCGAATGAAAGGGAAGTCAATGAATGAACGTCTTTTTGTTGCGGGAGCTACCTTTTTGGATGGTAAAGGGCAAACAAGCGGAAAACCGTTGCGCAATTCAATTTTTGAGGGGCCCCCTAGAAGAGAGACACACACGTTGGCCGCGAGACCCTCCCGATCCGCGCATCCGCGATGTCAGGCACCACGTGGACTCTGTGCTGCGGCGTGCCGAGGCGGGCGCCAGAGCTGCCGCGGCAAGTCAGCGAGGTGGGGGGGAGGGGCCAGTAGTTTGCTTGATTTTGCTTGTCTTCCAAACCTCGCGCACGCGGGTTCCATGTAGGGGGAGCAATAGGATGTCACTTGTTCAAAGACGACTTTTCAGCCTTTTGGTTTCCGTGTTTAGTCCATTTTAGTCATGCAGCCAAAAGGTTGACTTTCATGTCTGGGTCCTTTGGGCAACCTTTGGTATCGCAGCCTTCTGGTGGGAACCCCCGGTTGTAGCAGATGTTGATTAATAGGGGGTTGGCGGCTTGGTTTGGGGTTCATTATGGCCTCGCTTGTCTAAAGCAAAGTGAATCGACCTTTTGACCTTTTGGTTTCCCTTTCTCTGTCCAGTTTTAGTTGTGGTCCCACAAGTGATCACAAACTAGGCAACTGAGAAACGTGTGTGCAGTCGAGTGAAAGTGGATGCCGCAACCTCCCCAATTCAGTTGTCATCCTGTTTGCCTAGTGGACAGGGGGGGAGGGTTGAAATCTGTTTATACCCTGGAGCTACTGGTGAACCAACATGAACATGCGCAGGCCCTCCTCTTGCGCGAGGAAAGTAGCCTTTACGGGGGCTTTGCACTTCCATGTTGGCGGGATAGCAACAAAACCCACCTTCTCCGACTCCTTTTAAAGTGGCCATCAAGGGGCATGGGATCAAAAGATCCAACCTGGAGGTTTGATGTCTGAGCTCCAGTGTTTGTCTGCGTTTCCACTTGCACAATTTGAGCAACTTGCGTGTATATTAGCATGTGATTTCTCCTTTCGGTCCAGTTTGTTTTTGCCAAGTAGCTGCAATGAGGGGTCTGAATGCACTCTCCTTTGCCACGAGCCCACCCGGGTGTAAGCCAAGGCTCACCCATGATGAAGGTTCTTTGCCGGCAGATTTGTTGCCCTTATTTTCAGTTGGCGCATTCTGTCACAACTTGATCAGCTTTGACTCAGTGGCTTTCTTTCTGGGTTCTCTTCATGAGGGTTTAGCCAATCATCCGCGTCCGAAGGAAAGGTCGCATAGCCATCTAGGAGGTCTCCACAAAGTCGTCCAATGCGGCGCAAAAATCGAATGACCTGTTGGGTTTCTCTCGCGCAGCATTCGGTGAACAAAGGGTTCATGCCACCAGGGAGCTTCATTTGGTTTCCTTCGGCGTCCTGTATTCGAAGGTAACCATGTTCAATCTACGGTTGGAAGCCTTGCCACGCGTAGACATATTCAGGGTCGCTGTGAGGTCATGGAATCCGTCCTGCCTGTGTGGTTGTCTCTTCCTTTGATGCGGTGGATGGACGAAATCCATTTTGCACCACTTTGAAACCATAGGAAACCATTGGTTATGGAATCATATATTCCAGGGTTTCTTAGGTCTCAGGTGGTGCAGGAATTGGTGCAGGAATTCGTCCATCCATAGTGGATTCTCCTTCCTCCTAACATGGCATTCGTAGGGGCACCTGCAAGATCAGTTTCCTCTTGGAGGGACGGTTTGTCACCTTCCTTCCAACCCTTGTCCGAAGATCTGGGAACGCCTTACCGCATTGCCTGCTTTTCGCGGGTTTTTAAAGATGGTGTCCACCACCAAAACGCGCAGCCAGGGTGTGTAACCATGAGAAAAGCCAGCTGGTAGCCTTGAGGCTAGTGGAAACCATGTTAGTTTGTTTTGACACCCCGCTTTTGATTCGGACCTTGTGGCCCCTTGAACTCGGTGTGTCCCTTGGAAGGCAGTGCATGATTAATTTGCGTGTTTCGTGCAGCTTAGGCATGCCTTAGCTTGTAGATTTGGGAGCAACACGGGGATTCAGAGATATGATGCTGAAGCCTTGGTTCGGGCTCAATGTCATGGATTTTACTAGGGTGTCTGGTGGGACTTCCAAAATGGGTGGCTGCTAAACCCGAGAAAGCTGACCCGAGCCAAATGTCAGTTGAAAGGACACATTGCCTTGAAGGTAGACTACACACACAGCAGGATCTGGACTTATGTTTTTCACCCGGGCCGAGAAAGCTGACCTCAACCGAATGGGTGTGTCTCTTTTTCGGGAACTCGCTTTTGGATGGTTTTAAAAGGA